CTACCATATTCGTAGTCTTGCTCACCGTTCAGATGGCGCTGTTCCCTGCCACCGCCCGAAGGGCCTTTCTCCCACAGGTAGGGTTCGCTAATGCCATCGCCATCCATGGGGTTTCTCTCGCCGCCTTCCTCATAGTTAAGTACAAAGGAAACTGCTATACGGGCGCCGTTTGGCCATTGTGCGTCATGGCCACCTTCGCCGAAACCTATAATAGTGATCAGTATAAGTAGAACTGAAGATTGCGTGGTAGCACACCTTCAAAGTCTCTGGGGAGTTGAAGAGAATCTTCGACGTGAACCATGACAGACAGATGTTCGATATTACGGTCACGAACACAGTACAAGAGGGAAAGTAAACGTAGATTCAACGCATGCTACCTAGGTAGGATTTCAGAGCGGCGTCATTACATACAAGTTCTCAAGGTTATCTGCAATTGAGTCAGCTTGGAATGACCCAACAATCTTTTGTCCATACGTCAAGTCCATTCCTTTGCACCTGTCAATCTCTTATCAGTAGTTTCTCACCAATCACGATACAGGAAAGTTCTTAGGTACAAGACGCGTTGTTTGTTGTTTGCTGATCGGAAGTGACTCTCCCGACGATCGAATAAGCGTTCCGCCAGCCCCGCTTTACTGTTATCTTTCCTTCAAGGCTTCCACTACACAATCTTGCAAGCATTTAGACGGCTGAACATATCGGCAAGTACGCATCAGTGGCTGGTAGGCTATGGATGAACATTTGTCACAAGGTGTTAAAAGTCATGGCAGATGAACAAGTGCCGCTGTGGGTCTGCACCAGACCTGCCAGTATGAATAACCGAGTGCCCCCGGCAATTCAGTGTATGCCGAACATGTAGCATCGGCAACCGATCGCGATCTAATTACTTGAAAGCGTTGTGTCTTTACCAAAGATGTCGGTTTTCTCGCTAGATACCAGCCATGACAACCCTGTCACGACAGAAACTCTCGAGGCGCTATGCTCTCAGCTTGGGGTCAGCATCGATGAGAAAGAGAAACAGGACTATCGACGCTTACTTGCCGCATTTCACGATGCAAGTGAGCAACTAATGGCTATGGACGGTAGGACATAGTGGTTCACGTCGCGAGTTATGACGGAAGCTGACATTGATGCACAGACTATGTCCCCCTAGTCGATGAAGAACGCTTTGCCAGAGAAGACGTTCATTTCCCGCAAGCATCTGAGAACTCTCATGGTGCATGGGCGTGGAAGTGCAGAATCGTTGACAAGGAAGCTAAGAGCAACGGTAAACTTTACGGCAAAACATTCGCTTTGAAGGACAACATTGCTGTTAAGGGCGTACCGATGCTACTGGGTACGAACTTCGTCAAAGGCTATGTCCCGAATGTTGATGCAACTGTCACGACACGAATCCTAGCAGCTGGTGGTAAAATCCTCGGAAAAGCAGTCTGTGAAAACTTGTGCCATTCTGCAACAAGCCACTCTTCGAGTACTGGAGTGGTGGAAAACCCTCTCGCAAAAGGCTATAGCGCTGGCGGAAGCTCGAGCGGCTCGGCTGTTCTTGTGGCATTGGGCGAGGTCGATGGGGCAATTGGCGCAGATCAGGGTGGTAGTATCCGTGTGCCAGCCGCCAACTGTGGTATTGTTGGGCTAAAGCCTACCTTTGGCCTTGTGCCATATACCGGATGTGGGAGCAACGAGCCCACTAATGATCACATTGGTCCAATGACACTGACAGTATTGGAGAACGCTATACTTCTCGAAGCTATCGCCGGAACGGACAACATTGACGATCGTTCTTTCGCTGCACCTCACCCATCCAAGATACCTATCTACAGTTCCATCAGCAATACTCCGATGCACAGACCCTTGGAAGGCAAGAAATTCGCCATAATTACTGAGTCACTCTCTACACCAGCTCTTGATCCACGAGTGGTCCAAGTCTTTCGCACCGCAGTCACCAAGTACGAAGACCTTGGTGCCACAATCACCGAGATCTCGATACCACTGCACTCGAAAGGAGCAGCGATATGGAATGGCATATCGAAAATTGGTGGATTTCTCGGGAAAACCACAGGCTCGTTCGGGCGTCGCGGACACCAGATGCTCGAGCTGAACTCATTGCTGCATCCCATGGGCCAGAAAAACTGGAACGAAGCGTATGCATCTACGAAGAACATCTACCTTAACGGTCTGTACGCCACACAAAGGTTTCCCAATCTCCTCGCGAAAGCAACGAATCTATCAAGGCAGCTTCGTGATGCCTATGATGCGGCTCTGGAACAGTACGATATATTGCTGACACCTACACTACCGTATGTAGCAACGAGTCATGCGAGCCCTGATGCAACACCACTCGAACAGATTAGAAAGCAGATTGGCTTGACTTCAAATACGGCGCCGTTCAATCAGAGTGGGCATCCAGTGATGGCGATGCCTATTGGTATGTTGCCAGTCATGGAAGGCCCCGGAGTGGAAAAGGGAGTTGTTTTACCGGTGAGCATGCAAGTTATTGGAAAATGGTGGGACGAACTGAGTGTTTATGAAGCGGCGTTCGCGTGGGAGAGGGCAAACAGTTGGAGGAGTATGTGACGAACGAAGTTTTATGTAAGACCAGAACGTTGCTCGCGCTCGAATTTAACGTTGAAAGGTGTTCAAGGTAATATGTTACCGTGACAACACAATGACATCTTCATTCATCCTTTTCCCATGGTCTCTTCTGTCGCCGCTCACTTCAACCTCTCCACCTCCACCATCATGCCTCTCCTTTAATTGCACATCTTCTCCAACCTCATCTGGCCTCTGCAGACCTCTATCTTCAATGAAGAAGCACCCAAGTAAACATAGCCCCATGAACGGTACATTCATGATGAAGACCGTCCGACTCGCTGTTGCGTACGCCTGCAAAATCTGCAAAATCTGCCGTGGGTTCAGTGAGTTAAAGTCGGTTGTGTCGTATGAAGAGAGCGATAGTGATCGGAATTCTGCTGGCATTGCAGTATGCAAAGAGTTCTGCAGTGCAGCAGCGGATATTGCAAGACCCACAGCACCGCCGAGACTGCGAATGAAGTTGCGGTTCGAGATGACGACTGCACGCTGGGATTTGGTACAGTGGGCTTGTATTGCAACCAATGTGGGCTGAAAAACGGCACCAATCCCTAATCCTTGGACAGAAAGAATGACAACCATTGTCCAAATTGGCGTGGAGAGATTGAACATACATGTTAACCCTACGCTCAATGTCCAAAGGAAGAAGCCTAGCCAAATTACCTCGCCATAGCGTTCTCTACGGGAGATGTATTGACCGGATAGAATGGAAGAAGCCATCTGTGAGGCGGTCATAGGCAGCATTAGGGAGGCTGACATAAGAGGCGAGAGGAGGCGGGCGTTTTGGAAAAAGAGAGGTAGATAGTAGGTTTGCGAGTAGGCTACTACTCCGAAGAGAAAGTTTTGAAGAAGCATGATGGACACGGGGCCAGATCTGAAGAGGGATACTATTCGAATTAGAGGTGGTCCACGGTTGGAGTATGTTCGGTTGCAGGACAAGTAAAACTCACGTGGCATCATGGGCAGTATAGCGACGCTGTGCTCGATGTAGACAAAAGCTGCCATGCAGCATCCTCCAACGGCCAGCATGGAAACAACCATTGGAGATGCCCACGCAAAGTAATCACCGCCTCCCGCAATGGGAATCAGAAGCAGTATCAACCCTGCACTTCCGAAGAAAATGCCTCCATAGTCGATCCTTTTCAAGACCAGTTTCATATCCGCTCTCGGTTGATCCTTGGGTGTAGGCAGCACCAGAAGACACAACACCCCGCAAGCCGCTGAAACCGGGCTAACGAACCAGAAGAAGCCTCTCCAGGTACTCTGTTGCGCAAAAGCTGCCGCGATAAAAGGTCCAGTCATGTTGCCGAGTCCCACGCATGCGCCTATCAAACCTTGCCATTTCCCGCGTTCTTTCAAGGTCACAATATCGGAGACGATCATGGCTGAGAGGGAAGCTATACCGCCATTTGCCACACCCGATAGACCGCGGAAGACGTACAGCATCGTGGCATCGCGCGAGAGGCCACAGAGGAGGTCGGAGACGGTGAGAAGCGCGAGGGCGGACAGAAGAACGGATTTTCTACCTAGATTCATTATCAGTCATTTCCTGGTCGTTTACACAGGCTAGTGGACGTACCAAACAGGTCACTCATCCTCCCGTACAACACTTGGAAGATCGTATTCGCTATCAGCGCGCTTGTGCCAGCCCAACTGATCGTATCTTCTGCATTAAGATCACGTCCTATCGTGGGCAAGGCAACTCCGATACCAGTTTGGTCGACAAAACAGATAAAATGCGATATCGCAAGGGCTGAAAACACGACGAGCAGCTTCTTTCGCTGAAGTAAATTGGATTGATCAAAGACGGCCGCTTCAGCCGCATGTTGGCGAGCCTCCATGGTGTGGGAGTAAAGAGATCCGACGACGTTACCGGAGGAATGTGTTGACGCTGATTCTGTTGGAAGACCTTTCGTATTATCGTCGTGCTTCTCCGATGGAAAATTCGCAGGTTCCAGTCAGCACTGCCTTGATGAGATGAGAGAGACGGTTGCTATGAAGGCTTTTTTGTGTATGAGGTGATTCAGTGCGAAACTTGAAGAAAACATGGTTCTTGCAACCCAATTGGGCCTAATACCGTAATCGCGATGCGAGATATCCAAACTTTGCTAGGCGCTTTGGGGATGGTCACGCGATCCCTCGGTCTTGGTTGGATGTACGGAGACGCTGCCAATCGAGAGGGGCTTGTTGTCATTACAGTTAGAAGTTGGGGAAGGGGGTCCAAGATTCATGAATTGCGATGTTGTTACTGGGCCAGTAAACCTCAACAATCAGATCCTGCAGGTCCAACATACTCTCGTAGCGAATGCGACCATTCTGGGTATTTGGAGCCGGCCACTTGGTGATGAATGTCAAGTTTATTTCGATGCAATCTTGGTTTCGACCAGAAGATGGACCATGGCAACAGGAGCACACTGGGGCTGAACAAGCAGTCGTATACATGGTTCTATCCTACACTAAGTACGAACTTCCAGATGCTCATGTCGCATCGCTAACGTAAAAAGATAGGAACTCCTCTGATAAAGATGGAAAGCATAAAGATCAGCGTGAGATCGCACTTTACTTTCCCATGTGTTGTGGTGAAAGCAAGTGACAGGCATGCACGAGGTATGAAAAAGACAAAGCAGCTGAAAGGCGCCGCGAACGGCCTGAGCAAAACTGTCCTCGGAAAAGCAATCACCCAGTTCTCAAAAACTCCGCTAAACAGGATCCTTAGCTAACTCTTAGGAAAGAAGCTGTACAATGTGAAGAATCTGATCCGTATTGTGTGGTGGTAACTATACACATTGTACCCGGGTGTATTCGAAACGGCCGAAAGAACTTTCAGAGAATTATTCACTACCTCAGCCACGAGCGCGGCCGCTGCGTCGGACAGTACCATTGGTGGCAGAAGTGGGTGAGGAGGCCGCAGCAGCGCCATTGACCTTGTCTTTGTTTGCTTTGGTTCTAGTCGTACTCCTCGCGGACTTGGGCGGTGTGGCTTCTTTGATCAGATTGGCAGCTTTGCGTTTTTGGATGACTGGTAATGGATTGACGCCATTTGTGTTAGCAGCACCCTTTCCGCGTGTGGATCTTTTTGCTGGCGCAGGTTCTGGCTCGGGCTCTGAAGACGATCCTGGGTCTGAAAGTTCAGAGTCTTCTGCTTTATCTCCGTGCTCTTTCTCAGCCGCAACTTCTGCGTCGTTCATATCTACATCTACTTCAGCAGCAGGAGTAGATTTGTCTTGTTCTGCATTCGATGCATCGCTCTCTTCTTCAGCTTCTTCTTGGATTTCTTCAGCAACACCTCCTGCGCCTTCTTCATCGCTTGACACCTCAACATAGCTCTTGTGTGCAATGCTCCGTCGATCGCTCTTTCTTCGTGGTCCACTAGATGGCGGAACACCGCCCTCAACATCGCTCGCACCATCATCGTCACCAGCTCTCCTCTTCTTTTTCGGTGTCTTAACGGGTCGCTCAGTCTTGGCCTTCTTGTTCTTGATAGATCGGTCGCCCTTGATCTTCTTACGTGGCTTCTCCATACCATCTGAGGCCCTACGCTTCTTGCTTCGAATAGCTTTTCGCACGAGCACATCAAGTTCGTCGACAAGGTCTTCTCCAATCCATGTCTTCTTGGCAATCTCTTGCGCCCGATCGTGACTCTCCAGAGGCCGGAAGATACCGGAGGGTAATTTCGTTTTCCCTGGCCATGACTGCATTGTCCAGTTGTTCTGCTCTTCCCACGAACGAATCAGAGCCTGCGCTAGATCTGACAAGATGTAGAGATTCTCATCAGCCTGGCGTGATGGTGCAATGCCGTCTGCTACGCCCTTGACGCGTTGAGCGACATGAAAGATAAGCGACAGGTTCTCCTCGGTTGCGATACATTTAAGATAATACAAGATGTACTCTGCCATAAGCTTTAGTGTCTCGTCTTCTGTGTCGAAGTCGGGGTGGTGAGCAAGCAAGCTCAATAACCGAGCGAATACTGTCTCCAATATTGTCTCCTTTCGTGCAGAAAAAGTAGCGCGGCGTGCTCGAATCCAGGTCATGGTGCTGTTCTTGATGGTCTTTTCAGGCTCATGTGCGAGGAAGAACAGGATGGTATAGAATCGTGGCGGCAACCGACCCTGACCAAGATATTTCATCAACTTGTCAGCAAAGCTCTTACGCACCTGCGCACACGGGTCATGTGTAATGAGAGCGAGTTGAACAAAGTCAGCGGGGCTCAAGAAAGCATCTAGGCGCTTGTTGCATGAAAGTTTGAGTAAGGAATTCGCTGCAAGAAGCCGCTGGCGCGATTTGTGTCCTGCTGGGGTGTTGCCATCCGCCGAGCCTTCCCCGCCATCTTTCACGTAGCGGTTCAGTAGCCTGTATGTGTCTTCTGCAGCATCGTTGAAGTTGGCATCAGACGGCAAGGAGCGTAACCGGTTCACTAGAATCTTGATCGCCCAGGACCTGCCTTGAATTTCGTCATCCGGTACATCCATCCACTCGATATCCGCGTCGGCTGTCATCACATGTGGTTTCTGGAGAACCTCCTTGATGGCAATCTCAACGATGGCATCCATATCATCTTCGCAATCTTGCTGCGCTAGTAAGACTAGTTGACTCAGCGCAGCTAATTTGCTAAGCCAGTGAGCCCCGGCATACTGGAAGCCTTTGATGCTCTTCGTGAGAATTTCCTTCGCATGCATCTCCTTCTTGTCGTCACTGTTCATAATGATGGTGATTGCATGCTTTGCCGCTTGCGGAGGTGTACCGTAAAAGGCAAAATTGAGAAAGCTCTGTACCAACTTTTGGCTGTCCCTTCCGTTCATTGGTATGTCTGTGGGGAATTTCTGTGCAAATGCAGCACAGGCTTTGAGATCGTCTACTGCGCCAGGAGGGTTGGGTTTGGTTGCTGTAGGTGCCTCACTTTCAAGTGTTTTACAGAGATCCTTTACGTGAGTGGAGAAAACCTTGGGGTGTTTCGTGGAGATTTCTTTCAACAACTCGTGAGCAGTGGCACCGAGACCCTTGTCGTTGGTGCGAGTATACTCGATGACAGCTGGTACATGGCTCTTGTTGTAGCACAGTAAGCTAACGCGGTAGAGAAGTGGTGTCAAGGTATCGAGCACTGAAGGACCTGGCCCCTCCTCAATCCTCTTTCTTAGCTCCTTGATGGACCTAACAACCCGGCGGTAGTCACTCGCTGGGTCCATGCAGAACCGGATAAGAGCATAGGTACGGCGATCGTGGGCTTTGGCAAATTTCCATAAATCGTCCCTAACGCGGGTTGGATCGGGAAGTGTTTTCGCGTAGTAAGTGATGAGGCCCTCCAGATTTGTCTTGACATCCTTCTCACCCTTTTCTGTGACGCCACCATTGTAGTCTTCGCATAGTTTCAGGAAGTGCTCCATGTACCTAGCACCGGGGCCCTGGTTCCCTTGTTTCGCGAAAAAGACCTTCTTTGCTTTCGCCTCTAGCCCGTTGACGAGTACGAGCAGTCTTTCGGTTCGCATCTTGTCCAGGCCTGCTTCTGTGTAACCCTGATCATTGCTTGTCTGGCTGTCTTTTCCGGTTTGGGAGTTCCCAGCTGGCGGTGCTTTTGCTTTCACGGGCGGATAAGCAAGTGGAAGCAGCGAGTCGTATAGCGCGAGATCAACCTGCACGTTGATTTCGAGGTCGTTCACATAGCAAGCTTCGAGAATACGGGATGGAATTGGGCCGAGCAGAGCCTTAATGCTGTCATCGCCCTCGGCGATGGCACCAGCAGCTACACCCCATATCTTGCCGAGGAGTCTCATAGACTCGGAATGGATGACATTTTTCTTGTCCTTTACGCGATCGGCAAGATTGGAGAGAATAGACCCTGCTTCTGCCATACTGCCGTTGCTACCGAGCTTGCGAACGATGTCGATGAAGTCAAAGTGCGCAATCGCTTTGACGGCGGCTAGGCGCACCTTCTCGTCGCTATCAATCAAGCATTCACTAAAGTACTTGAGCAGCTTCTGTTCTTCTTCGAGATCGAGACCAATACCACCCGCGGATGTCATCAATATGCGACCGATTCCGGTGGTCCATGCGGCGCGTATGATGGCAGACTTGTCGTTTTTACGCTGGAGGAATGAATGATAGGCCACAGGGTATTGCGTGGGAAATGAGTTGATGGAGACTGGCGTGGTGAGATAGTCGAAGGGTCGCGACGAGTCTGCGCGCGACAGGCTCTGTGAAGGATAGGCCGCTGGGTCCATGTCGGGCAGAGGAGGTGGGCCAGCTGCACCAATGCCTGATATCATGTCGCCGAATGTTTCCGTAGCAAGCTGACGGAGCTGCACATTCTCCGTGGCGAGCTCGTCCTGTAGATGCGGGACAATCTCCTGAAGCACACCAGGACAGCATTTCCATAGCTCGCGCAATAGCCTGTGTGCTTTATGTGCCTCATTGATATCATCCTCTGAGGGGCCGCGACGAAGGTCGTCGGCACCTTGGTCCTTGGAGTGAGGCTTGTATGTGCTTCCCGAGTTTGTGAAGTCGACAATGACTGAGCTGAAGTAGTTGCCGATAAGGCGAGCCATCTTCTCTGGGAACGCGTTGCAGACATTCTTGGCCATGTTGTAGGCGGGCGGTGCCTCTTTGCGCCGTAGCGTTGATTGCTTGGCGTCGATCTGCACGCTCTTGTTGCCCTTGGCTGAGGTGCCGAGAGTGAAGGGATCAGCCCAGAGAAACTGCGCTACGATAACGTCGACAACGTCGTGCGTGACTGCCGGGGCCTCATCTATGATAGTGGAGAGGATCTCGGTCATGTTGTGCTCGATGTTCTTGCTCAGCTCTTCGCCGCTGGACGAGGCAGACAGGACGTCGAAGCAGGTGGTGAAGAGGGCGGCGGTGAGGTGATGGGAGCCCGGGATCTCGTTGATGAGGAGGATGCTCTTCCATTCGGCGAGTGAGCGGAGGATGTACATGTGCTGGCTGTTGTAGGGGTGCGCGGGCTCGGCAAGGAGCGGCAGCAGCTTGAGGATGATGACGGAGAAGATGTCCTTGAGCTTCGAGGCCGGGTAGGGCGCATCGGGCGCAAAGAGTTTCAGCATGTCGACGATGCAGCACATGGTCCACGCGCGTACGCCGTTGTCCTTGTGCTGCACGAGACTGTGATGGGCCAGCGACTCGGCGACAGGCATGAGCGAATCGCGATGTGCTTCTTCCTGGTCTATAGTGCGCAGTTCGTCGAGCAGCGCCTTGAGTCGCGTCAACAGGTCGTTGACGCCAATCTGTTTCCCGGGCCGGCCAACAAGCGGTTGCTTGAATGTGAGCTTCTTCAGACCCCTATGTGCCTCGTCGCCATGTTCCAGCTCCTGCTCTTGCTCATCTTGCACCGCTTCGGGTCGCGGCGGCCGCGCTGCGCCTACTGCGCGTTGCCATGTCGCGTGGCTGCGCGTGGGCAACGGCGTGCAGAGACAATGTGGTGCGTGTCGGCTGTGGCTGCGATTGCGCGCGTGGAGAAGGTGTCGAAAGCGCACGCAGCTGTGGGGTCGAGTAGCAGCGCGATGGGCATGGAGCGACGATGTCGAGGCGAGCTTGTGGTCCGACTTTCTGAGCAGTGACGCGCTAGCCACTCGACAGTACGCGACTGACGTCCGCCTCGGGGACCGTGCTTCACCACCACCGCCGCCACCCCACCCGCACCTCGAACTCCTGTACACCCCAGCCGAAACACACGCACTCTCAGACACTACCATCTCCTTGGCGTTGACACGGATCTGGTCATGTCACATGGAGCGCCAACACCTCCATCAGGTACGAGGGAGGAGAGGAGAACGAAAAAAAAAAATAAAAGCAAAAAAAAAAAAAAAAAAAAAAAAAAAAAAAAAAAAAAAAAAAAAAAAAAAAAAAAAAAAAAAAAAAAAAAAAAAAAAAAAGAAAAAAAAAAAAAAAAAAAAAAAAAAAAAAAAAAAAAATAGAAAAAAAAAAAAAAAAAAAAAAAAAAAAAAAAAAAAAAAAAAAAAAAAAAAAAAAAAAAAAAAAAAAAAAAAAAAAAAAAAAAAAAAAAAAATAAAAAAAAAAAAAACAAAAAACACACCCCCCCCAACCCCCCCCCACCACAACACAACTACACATCACACCCCCCCCACCCCCCACAACCCCCCCCCCCCCCCCCCCAACCCCCCCCAACCACCCCACCACCCCCCCCCCACGTGCGCTAACCCCTCTTCAGTTGAAGCAGCCATGTATCCAAGTCCTCCAAGCCACTGCGACTCTCTCGCAGAGCCCAAGCGCCTCGGAGGGAGCTGATACACCGCCCTCACCCGTCTGCTCACTAGCCTCCAATCCATTACCTCCACACCTGGTCTCCTGGACGCAAAACTCACTGAATACGCTTTCGTCTCTCTATCTCAGGTACTGCGAAATTCCCGACACGTCCCAGTTAGAGCGCTGGAGCTCTGCCTGGAATGCATCTCGACCTTGCTATCTGCTAACTGGGGAGGCGGCCTTGAGCCTGCGCTCTCTGGACAACTCCTCATCCTCTTCACCTTTCTCGCCAAACCTTCATCGGCCGAGAATGGCATCTCGGCGAGCTCAGAGGAGCTACAGTCGCTCGCTCTCGGGTGCACATCCAAGTTGATGGGTGCGACCTCTCGTACGAAGCAGGGTCAAGAGGCCATGACCGCGGCGGCCAACATACCTGCCTTGGGCGAGGCTGTACTAGTCATGCTCGAACGTCTCACAGATAGCAATTCGAACAGCGTCAAGCTTCAGTCCGCTTGCGCCCTCAAAGGAACCGTCGGCGCGATTGGCGATGACGATGCTCTTGCCAGCTTTCTGCCTAGGATAGTCTCGTCTTTGGCTAAAGTATTGACTCCCCATAGCAGTATTCGACCCGGCTTTCGCGTTGTTGAGCAAGGCTTAGAAGTTCTTACATCACTCGTTGTCCGTTTACTTGGCGATGCCCAGACCAAAGATTTACCCGAGACACTACTATCAGATGAGTCCGGCGGATGCACCACAATATCTCGATCAGTCGCTTGGCTACAGGCAACTGCAACCCAGATAAAGATTGCGCTTGCCAACATCTTCAGATTGAGAGATCATGATAAGCAAGAGGTACGGCAAGCGCTCTTGAATCTGTGTCTTTGCATTGTAAGGGATTGTCGTACATCACTGTCTCTTTGCACAAGTATGGCTATCGAAACCATGGTCGATCTGGCAGGCCATGAGACCCCAGGTGACACCACTGAGGACAAACTCAAAGGACTGTTATCAGCAGATCAGAACCTCTCCGAACTTTTACGCGAAAGTTTGCATGGTTGGATCGTCGCCTTGCCTAGATTGATGCAATCAAAAGACGACCGTACCCGCCATAAAATCGTACATCAGATATCGGTCTCGCTTCGCCTGTTCGATGATGATCCAATGATTCTAGATGAGCGGCTGGCCGATAGTCTTCGTGATGGCGTGTCTGCAGTATTTATCGATGGCAGAGGGCTCGAAGAAATAAACGACCGCAACACCAGTCTCATCGCTGATCGTACGCTGGTATTTAGCTCGACAGAGTCGTCTTCTTTCCCACCAATCAGTATGCAATTTAAAGGCCAGGAAGACATGATGACGGGGTTTAAAGTATTAGTTCAAGAACTTGCACGTTCCAACTCTGCGTTGGCGGTTGTTCAGGGCCTGACTAACTCCGTCGATCTTGGAGCGCCCGAGATGCGCTTGGCGAGCTTCTGGCTCTCAGTCAATCTAGTAAGAGACATGGCAAAAGTTAATCCATCCGTCGATGATTTCATGGATCTGGGGACGCCAAACCCGAGGGAGGAAGTCTTGGATGACTTGTACTCGCATTCTCTGTCATTGCTTAACCAGCGAAGTGCGGATACCAAAGCCCTTGGCATTTATATGCATTAGCGCTCGAAACGGTAGCTTTGCAGGCGAAGCGGTACAAGACTGAGTTTCGCCCTGAGTTGAGTGAAGTACTTTATCCGGTGCTGCATTACCTTGGCAGTTCCAACAGCGCACTACGCGAGCATGCCCTGACCTGTCTCAACATAGTAGCGGGGGCTTCGGGATACAAAGACGCAGGGGAGATTGTTGTCAGTAATGTCGATTACATTGTCAACGCAGTTGGCCTGAAATTGGCATATGGCGATGTGTCGCCTCAAGCACCACAAGTCCTACTCATGATGATAAGGCTTTGTGGCCCATCTCTCCTACCTTATCTAGATGACTTGGTGGATAGCATTTTCAATGCTTTGGAGAGATATCATGGCTATCCTAAGCTTGTGGAGCTGCTTTTTAATGTCTTGAAAGGCATGGCGGAACAAGGTGTCAAGGCACCACAACTTGCCTTGTCAGTCGACAATGAGAAAGAGGAACATGTGCATCTGAAGAGAATGGTCATCATAAACGACGTCATCGAAGCGATCCAAAAGTTAGAGTTAGACGCACAAGAGCGGGAAGAGGAAGAGAAGCAAGCGTCAAAGGAGGCACTCCCACGAAAGCCCTGGAAAGCCGGAAAGAGTTCAGAAGATACCGACTCTAATGGCACGGACGAGGAGAACGGTCGACCGCCTCCACCGCAGACCGAGGAGCCTCCCCCTCCCGCCCCCCGTGCCTTTGCTATACTCCTTAAGATCTCCGAGTTGACACAGCACTATCTCACCACCATGTCGCCTAACCTCCGGAACTCGCTTCTATCCCTCCTTCGTACCACTATACCTGCTATTGCAGGACACGAGAACTCACTCCTGCCCCTCATCAATACGCTCTGGCCTGCATTGCTACCTCGTCTACAAGATTCGGAAGCATATGTGGTATCGAATGCGCTCGATATCGTTGCATTGATGTGTGAACACGGAAAAGATTTCATGCGAATTAGGATCGATAATGCATGGAACATTACCAGGAAGGTCTACGAAACGCACTAGACAGAACGACGACTGCAACAGGAAAAGCAGCTCCAACCCATATCGCTGGAGATCAAGGCTATCGAGACTGGCCTGACGAGGCTCGCCGTGGACTCGCAGCCTACGCCAGACTTTTTCACCACTGGAGCTGTACGTTGATGCGCCTACACGGATGATCTGGAGCAGTCTGACCGCCTTGCTATGCGCCATTGCGAAAACACGTAACGATGCGGGATGAGCACTTCGAAGAGCTGCTGGACATGCTAGACCCTGTGCTGGCGAGAGACGACGTACGTGGAGCGCTGGATCACAGCAATGCCGACGCAATATGGTTGCGACTATACAAGAAGCAGCAGGGGACTGGTAGAGAGAAGCATTCCAGGTCATTTATATCAACAAAAGCACATGAACTACCAGGCAAAATACCCGTAGGCAAAGCCTCACTGGCATTTCGTGCGAGCCTGAAGCGAAACGATATCTGCACAGTCCGTATGTCTTTCAAAGAGCTTCCCATTCGGGCAGGAGCAGCAGCAGCAACAACTGCAGTTGACTGCAGTATGAAGGATTCCCATGTAACCATATGTTATCATATACATATAGTAATTGGACGGTTCAGTACTAGTGCAAGCATTTCACCCGTCCGCCCCCCTCCATCTAGCATTGTATGCTCCTCATCTCATAACGTTTAATATGCCCAGTTCACTGTAACTTGAGTAACCCGATTGTTACGCTCTATATTGGCTGTGGCGGAATTCTTGCTCCGCTACTAATCACGTATGCGTGGCGCGCGCATCCTCCATTAGATCATGGAAAATATAGAAGTAAAGCCAAGATTAAACAACATTCTGTAATAGTACGTAGCCCAACTCTCGTCATGGTACTGCTCACATCTTGTTCGTGTCTGACCACTCATACATGTTGTCAAGGATGGTAATCTTACTCGCGGTGTTTTTTTTTCGTTCTTTTGCTTAACATTGTGCGTCTTTACCTAAAACAACTGAGAGATTCTAGTTGTACTTGTCGGTGGCCTCGTATTACTACGAAGGTGCAGCCTGCAGCTTGGGTTCGGAGCTGAATGAGGCACTCAGAAGCTGAAAGATCAACTTGAGACATATGGCGAGCTAGAGTACAAGTGTTGTGAGGAAGAGTTTGATTGCACACTCCGTTGTAGAAAGCGTTTCGCTTCCGTCAGTAATCTGTTTAGTTTGACATCTCGTTTGTAGGGGCACTTGACCGGCTTCTCCTCCTTCAAAGCCTTCGCAGTGAATGGAATGCATCCCTCGACACCTGCGGGAATGGAACAGATCGACGTAGGCCTGAAGGGGTGGGTTATCGGTGTAGAGGTATTAGTCACCGTTCTCGGTGAGCGAGAAGCTGGCGTAGTTGGCATCCGGCTCTGTGCATGACGAGTTTTGCTTGGGGTAGCTGATGCGGAGGCCGCCCTTTACGGCTTGTTTGTTGCAGAATAGGGTAGGGGTGCCGGTGCGGAGCGACATGACGCGGAAGACATCGTTGCTAGAGGGTTTAGTAGCAGGGAAGGGATCGGCGGCCCTTTCGTCGTGACGTAGAGCTTGTCTGGAGCTGTTCGTTGTCGGAGTTATGTGCATCGCACGCTTGGGCGTGCTCTTGACGTCAGGCGATGGTCGCACTGTCGCAGTAGTAGCCCCACCCACGATGCGGATCTATCAATCTTATTATAGCAACACGAGGGACCTTGCAGGGAGTATACTCTGGGGTAGTGGGAAAGCAACGTGATCTATCATACATAAGGTTGACGGCAGGACCGAAGTTGAATTCATCAAACGGCATGACTGTTCAAATTGTACTGCGCGTTGTGCTCGGCTTAGTAGACATTGAACATGGATACACGTTGGTTTACGAGAGTTGTCGGAATTGGTGTGTTCAGCTTCCGGAGATGCGTCTATTGCGAGGTCTGACGGTCGATTCACACGCAATTGACAATGGAAATGTGAAGAATATGTCCATTAGAGGCTGGGCAATTTAGAGTGTCTGGCGACTGATTCCGTTTGCGGATTGAAGGGCGGCTGCAACGTGCCAAGGATGTCATAAGATGAGGATATTCGGAACAAGCCCGGCCCCACAGACCAAGCTCAAGACCATGGCTACCAGCAACGCCGACTTTGACCAGCAAACCCACATCACCGTACTGAATCGAAACACACTACTATACGGCATCATCTCCGGGCGTGCAGCACCTATTATTGTATAAGGCCTGACGACACCACAAGGCGCGAAGATGCCACAAGCCCGTAGGCACTCCCGTCGCGCTCAAGCGCGTCGCAAACCACACGTACACGTCCAACATGCAGTGCACTAACAAGCTACCAGCGACCCGCGCCGTCTCCTCCAAAGACCTCCCCCCTTCGGTCGAAGGCGCCTATTACCGCAAATGCATCGACCTCCGCCGCCGCATAACCGATATTGAAGAGAACAACGACGGCACGCGCCTGCGCATCACACGCCTGAACCGCGGCATCCAGAAGATGCGCCTCGAGCGCGCATTCCTTCTCGAGCAGCTGAATAAGCACATGGAGTACAATGTCGACGACAGCGATCGCAGCAGCAGCCCACCGCCCACCCCAACGGATAAGCCCTTGAGGAGCAAGAGGAGCCACAACAGGAAGGGCACGCCTCCTCTTGGCGGCAGTGCGGATGGAGGCGCAAACGAGAGGACAGGCATGAGCGCCGAGGGCAGACTGGGACTGGGACCCCTGCCGCATGGCATCAACCCTATGAGCAGTGCGCAGAGTACACCAGACCCGTCGGGACGGCCCCAGAACAGCTACTTCGGTACCATTGGCGCCACCACGACGACCAGTCCACACGCCGCTGTCAACGGCGCACCTCCCACACTTCCTCCCCTGCACGCGCTCCCGCCGTTACACGCACAGCA